AAAGTTCAGTTCACATCATGTTGTATATGTACTCATATAGTCGGAACAAGCTTGGAGAACAAATTAGACAATTGTCCACCTTTTCAGACCCTCATCTGACTCTGAATTTTATCCTCAGTACCTTCATGTATGCCTCCAAAGGCATGAAGTTTGGGACGCACCCTCTTCTGGACTGTGTTGAGCAGCTCCACACAGCCGACCCGCTGCAGCTCCTTGGGAACCCAGTCTCTGAATCCTACACAAGATACATTAGTTATTTTAACATTCCCAGTGTCCTACAACGTCCTGCAGTGGATTAGCATTTTCCCCCAGTTACACATACCTGTAACACATGGTCTTAGGTGAACAAGTTAAACTGAAATGGCAGCAGAGGACATCACTGAAATAATAATTGAAAGCATCACAACAGTTCAATTACTGCCTCTTAATCTGAATGCATCAGTAATCTAAATGCATTCTGGCAGATGAAACCTGTTTTTGATATTCCTTCCTGATTTTTTTTTTTCCATTTTGTCTGTTCCAGTGATAGGGAGCCATCCTACATCTTCAACTGCCCCTCCCCCTCAGCCCTGCTCTCCTCTCCTATGGTCTCTCTCCAGTCGTTTGCAGTGTCTGTCACTCTACTGCAAAATTGAGTTTCCATGCAGCCACAGTGGCTGCCGCAGCTGCATTGGCGAGAAGGAAGGAAATCACTCAATAAAGCCAGATGGAGAAGAAAAAAAACCAAGCTGGGAAAAACAACCAGAGCCCAGATAACTAGAAAGAAAACTGAATCTGTCTGCAGTGCCAAGCTATATGGGAAATAGTACTGTAATTATATAGTGCTTTTCTATGCAAGCAGCACACTCAAAGCGCTTTACACTATTAGCCCATTCACTCACTCGCACACACAGCCACACACAGAGGTGCCATCACCAGGGGCAACCTGGGGTTCAGTGTCTTATGTATTTTGTTTTTCATAAAGTGAAGCACAAATATTGAATCATAGCCTGTGTTCTGGGCTTTGGTCCCGATACTGTTGAATTTAAAGTGCGCTCGCCCCACACACACACACACACACACACACACACACACACACACACACACACACACACACACACACACACACACAGCCTGCTGTGATGCCTCCGGTGACTTCATACAGATTTTGAATAATGAGGCACAGTCTCATTAGATATGATGATGAGGGGGCTGTGATTGGGTAATTGGACTCACCGAGTGGAGGTCCGTGGGTCATCAGGATGTCAATGCCTTCAGGGACCAGGTTCCATTTATCTAGCAGAGACTGACCCCGAGGCAGGTTGAACCCCCAGCCGTTAAACCACGGAGTCCTGAGGAGGAGGAGGGAGAGAGCTCACATTAACACTGCTTAGGAGACTCACTCTACCCTGATTATAGA